CAGGGTAGGGGGGGCACGGTACAGTAAAGTACACGGAGAACAGCAGGGTAGGGGGGGCACGGTACAGTAAAGTACACGGAGAACAGCAGGGTAGGCAAGTTGCCAAGGTTCATGTCTGAAAAGAACTGAGAAGGGGATTGACCCCCTCATCAGGAAATCTAACTAGAATTCCTCTTCCTTATTCGCAAATTACTGTTTCCACAGTTCCTGTGGAAGGGACTGTGGGATTCTGTGCCCAGGAGCCCTCTTGGCTCAGTGTAAGTGAACTCTAAAAGCATTTTTTTTTTTTCCTCCCAGAGCTTTACATCTTCTACCAAGGCAACTTCTCTGTTTCTGAAATTTTTCATTCTTTTTTTAACAGCGGAGGGAAAAAGAGAAAAGTGGATTTTTGCACTCACAATAACCACTCTATCACCATCGCCCCCTTATTCTCCCTTGTTTACCTCCCTTCTCTCATCCTCCCGCCAAACACTTCCTGGGGGGTCAGTTGTCCCTTTATGCCCTTATTAGCTGCTGAAGTCTCTGGTGGGAGCCCTGGCGCCTTCCTTACCTGACAATCACATACATGACCAGGAAGTTTCCGAAGAGACCCACCACGCACACGATGGAGTAGAGGGCCATGATGGTGATGGCTGTGATCATGGAAGGACTGCCGGTCGGAGGGCACGAGCTGTCGCTCCCGCCCAGCTCGGTGCGGTTCGGACCGCATGGGTCGGACAGGTTGCCATCTAGGTGGGAGAAGTTGACCCAGGAACCGGGGCTAGGTGCTGGGGAGCAACTTGAAGAGTGCGTATAGGGATCAGTGCAATTGCTGGCGTTGGTGGGGACGGTGCTGCTGTCCATGGTGCTGACGGCTGGCTGGGACCTCGCTATGAGGTAAACCCGAGCACCCAGACTTTTTCAGGTTCCACGCGTCTCAGCCGCTTCCTTTCGCCGCTGCCACAGTTCCTGCTATTTCTTAGAGAGACTAACCCTGGTGCAGCCAGAGAGGAGCTTTAGGTAGACGGGGAGAGCTGGGCATCTGACATTATCCACTGCTTGTAGCCCCCTTCCGCCTTAGTAGTAGAGACACATCCTCAACCCACACCGCTGTGGGAAGGGGAGGGAGGGCTGTGCGGGATCCGGAGGCTGGAGGGGAGGGAGGAGAGAGAAGGGGTGGATTTTGCGCAAAGCGATCCAAAGAGTTGGTCTGTCTCCCCATTCGGCACTCGTCCGTGCAAACACATCTAAGGAGGGGCAGAATGGGGAAGGGAGTTGAAGGGAAGGGGCGGGGGAGACAGAGTTAGTTCTCCGCAGCAATAAAGCATAAGAAAGGGGGCTGACATCAGTCGATTTTCCCAGCGCCGTTTTCTCTGTGTAATATGAAAGGAAAGACATTGGCCTGGTGCAACCCGGACAATCTTACACCCCAACGTTCTTCCAGCCCTCCAGTCTGCTGAAATCATTCAGGACAGGGTACACAAACTCCTTTTCTTTAGTCAGCCTTGCCTGCACGTCCACACAAAAGTAACCGTGTTTTTTACATCGCTAAATGAGAATTTTCCACCCTTTAAACCTGTCTGAAACAAAAGTGGTCCTTTCTCTGAAAAAGAAGTGAGAAACAAACTTTTGTGTAGGAAACCTATTCATTTCACTCCATATTCCCCTAGTTTCTCTTAAAGTAGAAGTTCTAGTTACATCTGATTTCTATCTTGGTGGGAAGGAGGCACAAGAACTGGTTAACAGAAATCAGGGGGTTGTGGCATCCAGGACAGCCAGCGAAGGATAATGGTGATCCTTCACATCTAAATCTCAAAGATCCGTTTAGAATTATTTATTATCCCTTTTATTGCCGGACTTCCTACATGAACATGTGCTTCTCAGTAGAAGGTGGTCAAAATCAAACATTTGCATCATTTCAGTCTGTTTTCTAGTGTAGAGATTCCAGGAGGAATTTCACAAACATCTGGAACTGGAGTGGCCCACACAAGGTTGAGAAATATTGATACATTTTAAAATTTAATACCTAACTTCCAAGACCCCAAATACTTCTATTTTAGAAATAAATTTATAAATCAACCAGGGATAAGATATTTCTGTTGTTGTTGTTTATTTGTTTTTTTGGTAAATTAACACTAATTCTGAAGTAAATCTCATAACTGTAAGTGTATTTGTGTATGTATATATCTTTTAACAATATGCATTGGTATTAGATATCCCCAATTGGTTGTAGAAAGCAATACTCTTGGGGAACAGGGAGAGGAGTAGGTCAGGGAGCTTGGAAAGAACACTTAATTCCAATATGATTTTTACCATTTTCTTGAAAACAGATTACTCATAGGTAAACTCCATTAATCATAGGTTACTTTGCCAATTTTTAGTATTATTTTTATCCTTTTACACTAAAGGGTATAATTTTAGCAATAAAAGGTCACAGAGATCTCCTAAAGACTAGTAAAAATACCTTGCCATGTATTCTCATATGAACTAGTATATCAATTCACACACACTGAGCTGAAATCTGTCTGGCATTATTTAGTCTCTTGAGGACACATAGAACCAGTTTAAGCTTACTTCGTGTGAAAGACAAATAAACACAATATAATAAGCCCTGGTCTTGGGCTCAAATCATTTTGTGAATTTTGGATTTATAACTTTTTAGCTGTGTGAGTTTGAATATGTTACTTTATCTCACTGAGTGATGGTTTTCTTATCAGTAAAAAGTGTTAATAATACCTAATAATTCTGTTAGCAGGATTAAATGAGGTATACAATAGTAGTTATTTAATAAATGATAGCTTATTATTCCTCCATTTCATATATTTGAAAATAAGTAGTCTCTTCTACAAGTTAAATATTAGCTTCTTTTGGCTGTTTCTTATAAAATGTAGTTTTGGTATTTTTCAGTAGTTTTCCCTTTTTTTCTATTCACATTATAGTTTTATGTTTGTTCTTGTTCTTTTCTTTTCTTTCTTTCTTTTTTTTTGTATGTCTGTTCTTAAGGTACAGCTCCAAAGCTAAAAACAATACCCTAAGTTGGCATGACCAGTAAAAATTGAGCAAGATTATAACTTTTCTTTCTACCGACATAGGTATTGGAAGGTCCCATTAACATTTTTTTTTTTTTTGAAGTCACATTGCTTTCTTGACACTCCTGGGGTTTAGTATTGGCAACATTCTCTAAACATGATCCAAACGAGTTCAATAGATATTTATTAAAGATCTACTTTGGGTCAGGTGCTGGAGTTTTAAAATAGATACAGTTGTTTTTGAACACAGGAGCTGACTTCTCATACCTTGTAAGTTATGTTTTTCTTCTATAAATTTATAGTTGTCTAGAGAGATCTGAGTACAACAAGTAGATTTTTAATTTTTAAATTTATATCTCATTAGATCTAGTTCATGATTCATATCTAACAAAATCTTTTGGAATCGTGATTCTGTCATCTTTTGTATGCCTGCTTCCGACTTTATATATTTTATTTACCCTTCCAGCTTTATATACTGTACAATATGATTCCTGAGGGCAGGCCTGCTCACTACATAGTATTTAATACATAGTGGACTCTCCTTCTCTATGTATTAAATATATAGTATATGTACATATATAATATGTTAATTTAATTGAGATATAATTAGCATATGTTTCATAAATGCTACCGACTGAATGTTTGTGTCCCTCCAAAATTCATATGTTAAAATCCTAACACCCAGTGTGGTGGTATTAGGAGATAGGGTCTTTGAGAAGCAATTAGGTTATGGGGATGGAGGCTTCAAGAATGGGACTGTTACCTTTATAAAAGAAACTCCAGAAAATTCTCTAGCTCTCTTTTCACCATTTGAGGGTACAAGGAGAAAAGAGCAGTTTGGCAGTCGTCACCATGGAAGAAGACCCTTATCAGAACCTGACCATGCTGGCACCCTGATTTTGGAATTCCAGCTTTCAGAACTGAGAAATAAGTTTCTTTTGTTTATAAACAACTCAGTTTATGTTATTTTTGTTATAGCAGCCCAAACTAAGACAATAATATCATCTAAAATAATCTGGGTGATTTTTAAATGGTACAGCTTGAAAAAAACTCTTTTATGAATATAATAATAACATTTGTCCTTTTAAATTCAGTATATTCTGTTAACTAGCCAGGACTTAAATGAGCAGACATATGGACTGGCCATGGGACTTTTCTCTTAGAATTACTGTCACAGAGTACAAATTCCCCTTGTCCTTCTCTAGAAACATCATTTTTTTATTCTATTTTATAAATATACAATTATTCTATCGAGTAGGTATTTGAATTCTGGGCTTCAACTACATATTTTTAACTGAAATTTGATGTTTTCCTTTTCTATTATTTTTTCTCAAGTTTCATTAAGGAAATTATTATTTCTATTTTGAATGCAGGATTTTCTGGACATCAATGCAAGTCTTTCCTTAAATTATATTAACATCTATATCTCAGTATCTCCTATCTATTCAAAACAAAATTTGAGAAAATGCAGGACGAACTCAATTTCTTTTTCAAATATTGTAGGACAGCCTTGAGAAATCCAGGGAAAAGCTGTTATACAAATAAAAAATTGATACCACACTTAATATATAGTATTAAAGGACCTCAAGTTCCAGTTTCTGTTATATCTTAGTTGCCCTGTGGGGTGTTCTCTCTTTTCTCTTAATTGCCTATTTCCTACCAGAGTGGTCTTAAGTCTGGTGTGAAATCTCAGGTCTCTTGTAAAAAGAGGTGAAATGTAAATACATAAGTCAATTTATTACATGCTTAATTATTTTATATAACATGGGTTCTAACCATATAATCTTTAATTTCCTTAAGCTTTGGTATGTTATCAATGCCATGGTAGTTTGAGGTGTACAACATAGTGATTTAACGACTCTGTAAGCTGTGCTCACAGGCGTAGCTACCACCTGTCACCACACAATGCTATTATAATACCATTGACTATAAACCTTATGCTGTACCTTTCATCCCCATGACATGATTCATTTACTTTATACCTGGAAGCCTGTACCTCCTTCTCCTCTACACCCATTTTGCCTGTCCCCCTACCTCCCTCTGGCAACCAGCAGTTTGTTCTCTGTCCCTGAATCTGTTTCTGTTTTCTTTTGTTTGTTCATTTGTCTTGTTTCTCAGATTCCACATATAAGTGAAATCATGCAGTATTTTCCTTTCTCCAACTTATTTCACGTAGCATAAAACTCTCTAAGTCCACCCATGTTGTCAATAATGACAAGGTTTCATTCTTTTTTTGTTCCTTTGTATGTAAAAGTATTTATCCTTCACCTTTTGGATTTTTATATCTTGTTGTATGTGGCTTGAAGATTAGCAAGATGAATTACAGGAAATATTATGGTATATTTAATAGCAAAAAACTGACCTCAAAGGGCCTGATTCCTTTGAGGACCTGAAGATGGTATCTATGAGTCCAACTCAGTTAACTCTCTTGAGTAATTCATAAACGCAGCTAGTTTAAGTGATTCATAGGCCTAAATATCTTTCTTAAAATATGGATCCTCATTTCTATTTGAGTCTTTCTCTTCAATTTCCAGTTATAGAGGACTGCCATTACTCTATTACAGTCGTTTATCACTTTATATTTAGACAAAAAGTTGTCAGATTTTTTGGTCTCAAGACTACATATTTAAAAGTTATTGATGATTCATAGAAACTTTGGTTTATGTAGGTTATTACTTATCACAATTTATAACATTAAAAATGAAAACAAAAAATTTAAAAGCATTTACCAATTCATTTAAAATAACAACAGTAAACTTATTATAGGTAAACTTTTTTTAGGGAAAAAAGCACTATATTTTCCAAAGTAAGAAAATATTTAGTGAGAAGAGTGGCATTGTTTTATGTTATGGGTTTATTTTTAATGTCTGTTTGAGAAGAAGATATTTGGATTCTCATATCTGCTTCTTCATTCAGTCAGTTGCAATATGTTGTTTGGTTGAAAGAGATGAAGAAAATATAGCCTTACACAAATACGTGGTTAGAAAGGGGAAGAGTATTTCGGTGGCCTTTGCAGATAATTGCGATATTTTTCTTTGATACTAACCCAGACTTACCAAGTGTTAGTT